CATATAGCAGGGGAACTGTCAGGGATCTATCAGCTTCTTGCAAGGGACCGGATAGGGATTTGTACAGTAAAAAAGTTTTGAACCTCCCTTGCAGTTGTGTCGATGGGCAATTACATCCTAGCTGTCAAGTTGCAAAGGTAATGCCTTTGCGCCACAAAACAATTGTACGACTATTTGAAACATTGTAGCAACGTATAGAAAGTTTCTACTGTAGGTTAGCTATCGGGACAGGCGGTCAGTTGCCGCTGTATCATAGCAATTGCAAACAGCCTAAGGTTAGGCGTCGGCAATATTTTCAAGATCTCAAATGAATGATTGAGGTGGAGTGAGTAACTCCGAGTAGTACCTCGTGGCAATGACCAAGTAACTAAACATGGTTACAAAGTCTTGGAAGCTGCATATCATGAATCTTTTTGTTTTGCCATCGTCAGGGGTTCAGGGGTGGTCCGTTCTTATAAGACAGCGATCATCAATGCTAGACTAGTTTGCATTCCACTACCTGATATCAGACTTGATGATAAAAGTACTTTCATACCGGCATCTACGTGTAGTACTCGTAGGTAGGTAGGTACTACGTCTTGCTCAGTGAATCCCCATCCTTGAGGCAAACAGCTCGCGGGGTCATAACAAGGCAATTGGTAGCCTTCTTTTTATTTGGAGATATCAACATGGCCAGTAAAAGATCGATGTAAATGGAAAAAAAAGTTCACAACTAAGCTAACCGCAAATATATTGATGCTTTGCCATGCACAGAGCCATGCATATGCACGTTACCCTCACTTGCAGCCTGAGCCCTGCGACGTACCAGATTCACAGCTTTTGTCATCATCAGCGTGGTGTGTGGGTGGGTCGAGTGAAGTGAAAAAGTCGGGGCGACTCGGGCCTGTCTCACTTTACTAGGTTAGGTTACCTCATAAAGACCAAGCCCCATTCAAGGAAAGCCACTTTAACAGTATGAAGTACGTGTAGGTACAGGAAGCGGGGTTTCTGTTGGCACGTACTCGTACCTATTTTTGATGTTCAAGTAAGCTGTCCATCGCACAACGTCCTCGCCTGCCTGTTAAAGACACAAAGCACCATGAGCCTGTTTACATAGCGACCATTGCGGCTCCTGGGGGCCAAGAGTCGGCACAGTTCTATCAATAAGCCGAGGGTGATGTGAAGAAAGCATCGCATTGCTCCCTTGACAAACGAAGTACCTGACTTGCAGCTCCGGGGCGGGATTCGACATCCACGACCGTGGGTATCCTAGATATTAGCACGTACTAATATAAGGTAACACCGATGCAAAACCAAGACTTCATCCCTGACAGAAAAGCCCATACAGTACAAACAGAGGCAAAAAATAAAACGTTAAGCGGGATGTTTGGAAAGAACAAGGATGACATTGGTTAGGTAAGGTAAGTGCCCAGTCAATTCCGTGCTTTCCTTTTTTTGCGGAATCCTCATTCGCCTTTATTACTTTGATCAAAATGTTATTGTCGTCATAGTTGTAGAACGCTCTGTCGTATTCTATTGCACTTGAACACATGGCATAATTTGGTGAGCATTGATTGTTAAAGCGCTAGGTTTATTGCAGAAGAGCCGATACAGGAAATATCTCTCCTACTACTACTTAGATGCTAGGTGTGCAGCTATCCGCTATGTACCTTGTGTACGTACCTAAGGTAGGTAAGGTAAGAAGCAGCAAAGAAACGTTCCAAAGAAATCATTCCCGTCGCCCTGTTTCTCCATGTTGTAAAGGCATAACTTGGCCTTCTCAAATGAAGACAGGCAGGCAAACTAGACAGGCGTCCCACTTAGACATCCTACATATATACCCTCGTGTCTGGATATTCAGCTCCTGATATTCCCATCCTCCAGACAGCTATGCAAGACTGTATCTTGCGGTCAGCGCTGACACAAACTAGTATCCCCCTCGAAGTGTTTGCCCAGACGGTATTCCTAGTCGCCAAATGTACCATGCCACACCAGAAACTTGCGTCCAGCAAGCCAGTGCTAGTCGGAGGGGGTAGCTTTAGCATATCAGCAAGTATGTAAGCAACCTGCGCTGTCGTTATGTTGCACTCCTAGTCCATATGCGTCTCTGTCCCAGACACCATATGCCCGAAGAGCTCATAGTTTGCAGCACAACCTGTGACCAGGCGACGGGCAAACGGCTTGCTCTTTGTACTCCTGCTGTCGCCTGTCTTGTGCTCGACAGCATCGTCCATCTTCTTGTTGTGGCCCCAGCAACGGTTGCCGTCAGATCTGTCAGTGTTCTCCGTGGTGTCTGGCTCGTCGTATTTTTCCAGACTGATGGGGATTTCATGATATGGACTGATTTGATAACCGCCACCCCATTGGTGAAGACCGCGGTTGATGTTCTTATGTTGGGCACTGCATTGTACCAGCCGAGGACGTGACCGTCTCTTTTTCGCTCTCTCTTGTGCTTCAGCCCGCATCTCGATGCATCGTTGGTGCCAAGGGCAGTGATCTCTGCTACTCTACAGCAGAAACTCACCGACCTCCCGGCACCGCGGATTCCCGGGCCCGAATTCACATTCCTGTAACTTGTGCCGAAGTTGACATGGACAACATGGAAAACGGAGGTAGGTCTGTTGGCACATCTTGGCTTTGATATTTCTCGGCTAAAAGCTTGCTGTGATGAACGTTAGATGGCAAAAACAGCGCGCAACGGGCAAAATTGGAAAGCGGGCTGTGCTTTGATTCCAAGAAGCACGCAGAGAGATAATGTGGAGAAAATGTACATACCTTTTCTCTGTGCTGGGAATGTGCTCCGGCGGTGATATTGCTGCACGCTGGTCGTCTTGGTAGGTACCTCGTAGTAAGAGAGGGACTTGTGTGTGTTGATTATGTCTAGAACCAGGATGTCAGATATATATGTTGTAGAGAGGGCGAGCATTAAGACAAGTTGAGCTATCAAGGGAGGGAGAACTGCAGCTGTGCCAGGTATAAATACGAGGATTTCTCTCTTCGTGTGACAATACATACCTGTTTGTGGGGGCAGTCGACGTTTGTCAGGGATCTGGTACTACCGTTCTCTTGAGAAAGGGAAAGTCTATGTGTGGTGTCGAGTGTTGGTGGGACTGTTGAGGTTTATATACTCGTAACCAACAGGTAGGAAGGGTGAAGGATAATAGGTAATGTGATGTTTCAATAATATATCGCTAGATTCTTAATGACTCCGACTCTATAGTTTAAGAATGAGTCTATTGCGTGTTGTGAGAAGAGAATGCAGATGACTTGTGGCTGGCAGATTGGTTGGCAACAAAATGAATGATAGTGAACAAATTTTCTCACTAGGTCCGAGCGCCCTATAAGGTGTAAACAAAGGAGATGAACACCAGTGAATGACATACGAGGTCAAACGAAAACATTTATGTCGTCCTGCTCAATGAATGTTGTTTGCTCCTCCTGTGGGCTATGTAGGTACCGGTCAAGTACAGGATATAATACCTACATATACAGTATACTTGTATAAGTCAATGTTGATGATATGACTTGTCTTTGCTAGGACAAAGTTGTACTTCTAAATGTGTATGTATTTGTGTGTCACTTGGAAGATTTGCTTGTCACACACACACACACATACACACACATACACTACCTACCTTAGGGACGGGCCCTTCAATGATGAGAGAGTGCAGGAAGGAACAATGATGCTAGGTGATATTAAACCGACAACAAATACAAACCGACCCTCTATATGTGTTGTTGTCGTTGGCTTGACAATCACGTTTCTAATGAATGCAGAGGAGTGTTCTTTACAACAGGTACAGAAGGAAACACTGCAGGGGTTTATTGGGAATCAAGTTGAAAACTGGCACTGACACATGGTTAGATGATGGTACACAGGCAGGTCATCTATTTTAGCCATTGCCAGTACATGACAGTTTTTTGTTTGGCTAGAAGTAAGTTACAAGGGCCATTTTTGACCGTCATCTGAGTGGATGGAAGCATCAGCTCCCGAATAACCCCCAGTGCCATTGGAATGACTAGTCGATGCCCAGGAGCTCTGGTTATTAATACTCTATAGGTAATTAGGTCTTAGTCAGTCGGAGTCGGATCAAAAACAATGCGGGAAGCCGTGGAGTCGGGGACTTGACTGTGTAACTCTTTATCGTACTTCAAGAGAAGGACGATTATTACCTGTTTAGCAGACAGCCGAGGAGGCAAATTTACCTTGCCCTGCACCTCGCGTCAGCCTGATCCCGAGTTGCAAGCAGTGAAAGAACCAGGTACCTACCTGGCCAGGCTTCCTAGGAGAAGATATTGCCTTCAAGGTACAAACAAGTAAGTAGCAGCAGAACCGAGCTATCAGGGTAGCTACCTATGCTATACAAGGCCAACATGACCACTCCAAATTCCGTAGAAAAGAGAGAAGACCATCAGTAATGTAGATTAGAATGTCGGTATCTACCTACCACCTAACACATTGAAGGTAGTATAATTCCCGGCCATCATTCCTCCTTGTCCATCTTTCCTTGCCAGGTAGGAGATTATACCTGCTTCATTGTAGGCAGAAGTCTAACCTCTCCCTCAGCCCGAAGGAAGAAGAGGGAGGAAGAGAGCGAGTTGCTAGACAAACAGGAAACTGAAATGCAAACCCTTGTAAAGTAAGTATAATACTCTATTGGAATTACATATTAGCTCGAGGCAATGCGAAATGGGCAGGCGACGACAACATACCTTGATCATTCCCCCAAGTTTGTACTTTCTCAATGTACGTGTACCATACCTACAGGCTACGGGACAAGTATGAAGAGGACAAGCAAGTGGGGGGGGGGGGATGCATCAACTCCCTGAATCTCTAGGTTAGCTTGATGCTCAATGTACCCGATTGACCTACTCGTAATTCAAGATCATGTACACATAGGTATCCAGCCAAAAGATGTCCAGTGTTGTCACGTAAAAGTAAACTCTAGGCAGGCTACTCTACTACCGTTTCCGAAATATGAATCAAATCAGCAGTAACACTATTAACAACTAATCATCAAGGCCAGGTGGCGGAGTGGTTAACGCGGTAGACTCGAATGAAAATTGGCACTTCGGGCCAATTTGCATAAGTGCAATCTACTTCCTTCGGGAGCGTCTGTTCGAATCAGGCCCTGGTCGTTTTTTTATCTACTTTTTTGCTGTTACAAGTTACGTGTCTCGTAGATATAACGTCTTGATGCTAATTTTTTTTTTTTTTTTGCAAAAATGTAGAAGCGCTATTGATTAATACATTATGCGATTATAATAATGCTTTAATCTTTAATATTAGGTATTAAATTGTAGGTAATGTCAGGGTTTTGTTGCCGTCAAGCACAATTGCAAAAGTTCAGGATTGCTCTCTTTGGTCATTCTTCCCTTGGGCTCAATTGCTTCTTTGACTTCGCAAAACCTGACGGTATCATCCTGAGTAAACGGTTGCCCTCCAACAATCAAGTAAGACTCAATCTTGAATGGTCTAGTGGTCAGGATACCTGCTTGTCATCGAACAAGTTCGCAGGTGGCCGGGGTTCGATTCCCCGTTCGAGAGTCATTTAACTAAAATCATCTTTTTGCCACTTTTCCCGCCTAAACGTCTTTTTGCTAAATGGGCATACAGAGCAGATTGTCTATACTTTTGCGCAGCTGCTGAGTTACATAAGACAACATCAGTTGTGACAGATCTCGGGATCGAATTTGAATCAAAACATTATTATATCTATTGTGTTATTTTCTAATACACCAAATACACAGCGAATACAAGGCCAAAAATGCTGCGCTAGCTCATCGGCACATCATTAGCAAGGCAAAGGCATACGTTCGCTCCCGGGCTGTATAGCGCTCAACATATGAAATGGCACAGTTTACTCGATCCTCTTCTTGCCCTCTTCCGCATTAAGATATCTTGCCGTGCTCAGTCCACGCTCGTGTCTCGCCACCAGGGATCCAATCACTCTGTCTTTTCTAATCTTTCCAATCGTCTCCTGGTAGCCTTCTACAGCCCACGGCCGCGGGTTCAGTTTCGGCCAGTTGACCTAAAGATAGAATTAACTCACATGGTCTGAAAGAAGCCACATCGAATCGTTCGTAACTTACATATAGCATGCCGTTCTGAAGAATAAAGTTTAAGCACCAGCCTCCCACGAAAAGCCAGAAGAGGATGAACAGCCGCATGGACAAGACAGCAGAGTCCGGCAGTTGTTTGGTAAATAACCCCAGGAAGACAAAGAACAGGCTGAAAGCAAGCACGTAGGGGACACTCTGGATGAGAGCGGGTCTGCGATCAGCAAATATCAGGGAAGCGCCGATGTTGGCCGTCGACGGCTCGTAGGCCCCCAGGAATAGGTCGTAAGCGTCCTGCCGCGGCCCGTCCCTGAAGTTGTTTAGGTAATATCGACTGACAGCGATGTTGCCGTCTTGGAGTGTGCCTTGCTTGGTGCGCTTGCCCAGGCGTGTTAGGTCGGTTTTCATGGCGCCTGTGCCAGCGTAAGCTTTCGACACCGTGTCGGCATTGTCTGCCCATATGTTTCGGAAGAGGAACTCAAAGTCTGAATCTGCAGTAGCGAAAGTCTCGCCCTTCGAAAGCAGGCCCAAATCGACAAATATGCGGTCGAGAGTCCACCTAGCGAGCATACTCTGGACTACGTTGGTACGGTCAAGTGAATCCATGCAGTTGGTCCGCACCACACTGGTCTGGAAATTTCTCGTCTCCACACCCTGGTTGGCGGGCATATCGACGCCTCGAAAATATTGCTGCTCTATCAGTGCGTCGCGCAGCTTGTCAACCAGCATCATTGCTCGGTGCATCTGGAGTCCCTTGGTCTCGTGGTGGAAGTCGAAGTAGACGTAGTGCAAACGGTCAAACTCCTGCTTCGCAGTATTCGGCTCGATGACGTGAAACTTCTCGTCCGTGATCCTGTCCGCGCTGACGGACTCCGATTTCGAGCTGAGGAGCATCTCGACCATTTGTTCATAAGCGTCCTTGATGCGCTTCTCGCGCCCCTTCTGGTTGACAAGGTTAACCAGGTAGTTATCCCCGTATATGCGGATCTGCTCGTCGAAATGTCTTTTGGCGGCTGAGAAAGCGGTCTCGATACCCCGGACCTGAAGCTTTGGGGTATATTTGAGAGCGTTGATCTCGGCCCAATACACAGGTACGCTACCTCGTGTCTGCACATACGACATGATTTGCATTTCCCGTCCCTCCGGGGCCCCAAAGTTGCCATCTTTTGTACCCGTGCTTCCCGAATAGCCTCCCAGCGCGCCACCCAGATCATTCAAGACCACGATTTGTTCCGTTTCATTGTAATTGGCAGCGTGTCCTTCCTCATCAAGGCCTCTGGTGAAGTACCTTGTTCCGGCTCGGTATCTCGACTTCCTAGTGATCAGGGCGATGGTAAGGGGTGTGCCCTTCAACTTGGTAGGCCGTATCTCCAACGTGCCCCATATCAGCGGCAAGATGAATGGATCGGCCGCTGGTTGTGGACCTTGTTGTGATCTGTTTCCTATCCTTCTGAAGTCGATCAGGTCGCTCTGGACAAACCTGTTCCAGAAGAAGCGGTCGTCGGCGCGCATCCAGAGGGGCGTAGCAGTGTCGGCGTAGGCCTGCCTCTGGAAACTGTTGGTGAGATCTAGGGAATAGGAGAAGTACATTGGCCCGGTCATGATGAAGCTCTTGAGCAAGTATAGAAATTGATCCTCGTCGGGATCGCGGATTTGGCGCTCTCGCATCGGTAGGAAATCCGTCGAAACCACCTTGTACACCATATGTCCCTTGAGACGGCCCACAGGCTGGGCCTTGGTAATAACAATTACATACTTGTCTAGTACCGGTTGGTCAGCCCCTGATGTCGGATGAACCATGTACAACAACAAGATCCCACCTACCTAGCCGGAGCCGAATCAGACCAAGAATGCCGGCAATACTCGAGACACGGGCAACACGCTTGTTGTTGAAAGATGCGGTTTCGCTGAGGCGAACATCGCCAGTTGGACGGTCGACGACTAGAGCTGGAGCATCGGGCGAGGAAGGCGAGGTAAAGGTGTATGAATCGGGCGCGATGCGGACATTGATGTCTCTATATGGGAGCGTCATGACGGGCCAGTATATAGTGCGGGACGGCGTGCGATCATAGTCTTCCGGGACAATTGTGCAGATTGGGTTGGGAGCTTCGGGGGATGAACGTGGCGTGTGGTCGCGATAGCCACCAGCAAGTAGGTATTTGCTCTGGGCAAGGTGCTGGAGATTATACGTGTACCTAAAAGGTATTTAAGAGTAAGTTACTGTGCTAGGAACGTCTAGGCGCGCCTCTTGGAGCTAATAACATACTGGGGCAGAATTCTACTGCTAATTACTTACCTACCTTGATTATCCTCACTGCTCAGGAACAAGCGCCTGAAAATGTGTAGATATTGGTGATATCTGACATGTACTTATTTAGTAGCTTATTTGACTCAAAGGAACAAACGTTGCACAAACATATGATTTTATTGTAATAACATAGATATTGTACGTGTACACGAGCACACACGAGGTACCTTGGTAGGCGGAGCTTTACAATAGGTTAACATCAAGTCCCAACTTCCAAGGCATCCGGGATGCATGCTGGCACTAGGCAATTTGCACATGCGGGTAGGTACATAGATAGATACTTTGCAAGCATGTGTTCTTCTACCTACTCGTAGTACCTACAAGTAGGTTAGAGTAACTTACACCGTTTACAACTGACACAAACCTACAAGCCGGTAAGATCTCAGTATTCACCAGAGTCGACAGTGATGTCCACGCCGTGTCCAGACTCCAGAGCCAATGGCTCTGCCCTGGCAGGAGGTAATTTACGAGTACGTTGTAGATATCAGGGAGTACAGCTCGGTACTAGCTGTAACAAGGAGCCTACGAGTACTATGAAATGTATAGCGTAGAGGTTGTTCCGTTGAAGGCAGGCAACTTGAAATAATCTGTGAGATTAGTACTGAGGAACATAAACATACTCAGGCTGTATACTTACATATTACAATTTGGAATCCATTAGGTATTTAAACATAGGAGCTTACATATGATCAATTTGACATCTGATACTTGTACTTGTACTTTAGGATCTGACATCTAAACTCATTAGCGGGCCCTGTGCTCAGCCACTGCACTTGCTCGCACCAAACCGGCGCCAAACCGGTACTTGAGATGTGCCTACAAGTACATAAATTAGGTAAATCTTATAGGGTAGGTACGGTGAGTACTTAACCTAGTCTAGTACCTAAATTACCAACTTCCAATGACCATCATAGGTCAACTTCCACCTGGGCCACTCTATTCATCAAAGGTCTAGGCAGTAACTCAGCGCTGCCCCAGATTCAATCGTCACCATCTTCTTAATTACGCTTTGAGTTCAACAACACAAGAATACGACATCCATCAGCATAGGAAGCCTCGCCTGTACCACACCGTAAATTTCCAGTCGCTCCCTTGCATCCCAGTCCGATCGACGCATTTGACACGACTTTTCGACAAGAGAAGCCGGCCGCAACCCCCCGTCGGCCTCCTTTGTCTTCATCCGGAAGAACCGCAACAAGCACTTTGGCCTTTGGCAACCCGCAACAACAGCAAATCTTAGGATGGCTTCCCGAGCAGCTCCTGCGGCAGGCCGCGGCATGAACACTCGATTCGCACAGTTTAAGTTGGTCCTGTTAGGTATGCTTCAGCTGTCTATACCCCCCTCCGATATGCGGGTGACCAACAATACTGACGCAACTTCTAGGAGAGTCCGCTGTGGGAAAGGTATATACGTAGAGAAAACACCGATGAGAATGGTAGAAACTAATGTCATTTTTAGAGCTCAATAGTGCTGAGATTCGTCAAGGTGCGTGTTCAACTCTGCCTCTGACCGACATTCATGATATACAATTACTCATGTCCGTTTAGGATCAATTCGACTCTTACAGGGAATCCACTATCGGCGCCGCTTTCCTCACGCAAACCATCTCTCTTGACGAGAACACTACGGTCAAGTTCGAGATATGGGATACGGCTGGACAAGAGAGATACAAGTCGCTGGCCCCTATGTACTACCGAAATGCCAACTGTGCAGTAGTCGTCTACGACATCACTCAATCCGTATGCTATCTGCACCCCCGGCTATACCTAT